CAACACTCTAAACTGCTTCCAGCTATTGAATGCACCCTAAGAGCTAAGAGCTAATAGTGATAAAATGAAAAGACAAACATAGAAATAGTCCCTCAAGGACTGACAGCTAAGGCAAAACAAATGCTATTCTCCAGTCAATGGCACTAATGTGATGTATGAAAAGGTAGAAGTTAATCTGAAAGCATAAGGAACATATCAACAATGGTATAGCCTTGTACTGCTGTATTTTAACAGAAAGGTTTGAGTGTATGAAATAGTGTTTGAGAACATGATAGATGGAAGATTGAAGAAAAACAGTCTTTTTCTTCAGATTATAGTTGGGCAAGTATAGCTCAACTTTTTGTATTATTATTAGCAACACCTAAATTAATGTTGAAAAAGTTCCAAATAAGTTACAATTATTATTAGTATTATTATTTAGGGACTTATTTTTCAATATTACGCTATATACAAAATATATGTAAATCAAACAATATTAACATGCAAGCACAATAATGCAAGAAACTAATAATTATTATTGTAATTATTTTTGATACAGTTGTCCTTGACTGTAAAAATTTGAAGCACAAAATCTGATTACACAAACCTTGTCTCCTGTAGCTATATGTGCTCTTTATGCCATGATGAAACGTTCCTGTGAGGTAAAATACTTTGCTTTGTCTAGTTCACTCTTTACAACAGCAGTCTACTATTTTCGCAAATCCATTACAGCAAACAATAATTGTGCCTTTCTAAACATCCTAAATCCTTGTTTCTACGACAGCATGATTCAATTTTGCAAGCACATTACTCCATAATTTCTTTTTTTTTCCAAGCGATCCACTCAACTCCACACATGTTTCTTCAATTTGATTATTTCAAACAATAAATAATAAGCACAGGAAGACCAAAAATGGCGAGCTTACAAGGCGAATGATGAAGCAATTATATTTGTTTGCAGATATCCTCACGATACATGCCTCTTCTCTGCAAACATGGCTCAATCACACTAAGACAAAATGATTGGATAAAGACATGTCAATAAGATCTATATAGCTACAGTACAAAAGTAATCTTTAGAACTTTAATGCAGTTTTATTTAAAAATAACAAAATAAAAAAATAAAATAAAACAAATGATAATAAAATATTAAATTAAATTAAACCTAAAAACAAAAATAAAATAACTTAAAAATATATATATTTTTAAATCTTTTATGTCAACAACAAAAGACATGGGGAAAAATGGATTTAAAATTGTTTTTCCTTGCTCTCCACGACCCATCAAAACAGACATGCATATTTGGGCTGCGATCCAACCACTGTACTAAATCTTTATGCGTGGTAAAGCAATGACATCACCCCTCTTCCTGTGCAAATGACCAGCACTTCCTTTAATGGGCCAGATCTCTTATATCGAAATGCATGTGAGTTGTTATGATCCAATGGGTGAGCTGAGCTACTGTAATACAGCTTGTCTCCTCATGTGTTCCCACATGACAGTGAGGACGGGAAAATTCCCTCAGGGTCCCCTCTCTCATGTGGATGTTGGGTGTAATCTCTTCATCTGGATGTGTCAGTGACATACAGTAAGACTAGTCGTGAAAGCCCTGAACATTGCAGACTTGGAAAAAATAAAGGCTACATTTCAAAAAGCTTTGTGTGGATAAATCCGGAGATGATGGGTTCTAGTCACCGACTGAAAGGTATTTTCCTCGATGATAGCCTTTCTCTCATGTGCTCACACACTCTGGGATGAAACGGCAAGTAAAGCACTGAATGAAATCGTTTTGTCTACATCTTTGACGTGGTAAGTTATTAAGTGACACATCTTACGGTACCCAGTGCGAAAAGACGTGCTTATAAATCTCTCCACTTGACATCTAGAGAGAGAGAGACTTTGCCTCAGGAAACTTGGGATGGAGAACTGAAGGAAAATTCTATTTTGGTTCTTCCAAAAAGGGGGGTTTGCGAAACACAGACAGTAAGATTCTGTGTGCAACAAAAACTCAGAGGAATTTTGCTCAAACACTGTTCCATTCTGTTTAATTGTCCACAAAATGACAATGCCAATGGCTAATTTAGTTTAATTTGCTACTAAATCTGATTCATTCTATATTCCAGTGAATTACACACTCCTTAGAGGCAGGGTTTTCTATAAAAAGTCCCTCTCCAATGTTTATCTCAAATATGTGACCCTGGACCACAAAACCAGTCTTAAGGGTCAATTTTTCGAAACTGAGATGCATACATCTTCTGAAAACTGAATAAATAAGCTTTTCGTTGATGTATGGTTTGTTAGGGTAGGACCATATTTGGCCGAGTTACAACTATGTGAAAATCTGGAATCTGAGGGTGCAAAAAAATCTAAATATTGAGAAAATCGCCTTTAAAGTTGTCCAGATGAAGTTCTTAGTAATTCATATCACTAATCAAAAATTAAGTTTTGACATATTTACTGTAGGAAATGTACAAAATATTTTCATGGAACATGATCTTTTCTTAATATCCTAATGATTTTTGGCATAAAGGAAAAATCAATAATTTTGACCCATACAATGTATTTTTGCCTACTGCTACGAATATACCCGTGCTACTTATGACTGGTTTTGTGGTCCAGGGTCACATATGTGGTCTTCAATAGACAGTTAACGTTAAGTTTAGTCCAATTCAGCTTTAACCAAATATTATAAGAACAGCTGACAGCCAAAAGAAACAATACCTAACCAGCCAATAATAATTTTTTTCTCTACATCAAATAGCCTCCAACAGGGTAAGCAACACTTCCAATGAACAAATAGTCTACTAGTTGGTCTGGGCCTGCTGTGCTTCTGTCTACTCAGATTACCAGCTCAAGAGTCAGTAAGGCATGACCCATCTGTTCAGTTATACTGACCCCAGAACTGTAGTTAACGGAGACATTGTCTATCTGACTGTTTCTCACACTACAGGGACTGTCAAAAATACTATGGAATATTTATAGCACCCCCATGTGGACAAATCGTTGCTCTGCTATTCTTATTAAACATCAACGTCTATATATTTTCTTTTATCACTTAGTACGTCATAGAAAAGTATATAGACCCCAGATTAAATGGAAACGTCATAATGACAGCTAGAGGAATATAAAACAATAAACGCAGTTATCATCGTCTGATCTAGTCAAAATAAATAATCACATAGATTGTATTAAGCAGAAATCTTTTCAAAATATATCACATAATAGCTTCAGGGGTCTCCTGAGGGAAACGTATAGCTGCAGGGAAATTATGCTAATTCTTCATTACATTTTTCATACCGTCAAAGTAATGTTTTTCTACTGTTTTGTTGAATTATGAACACATGTGATGCTACTGTAATAAATCAGGACATATTTTCTGCCTCAACAGGTTCCACAAAACCGGGCTCCACATGTCACCTTCCACTAAGGCAACCTGCTTAACACACAAACACACACATGCTGATTATATTTATTATATTAGATTAGATATTACATTATTGATACAGATTATTTAGAATATAAATTAAAAATATAATCATTTGTTATTATAATTTCTATGCCCTTTTCCTAACCTTCAACAAACACCCATTTTCATTAACACATTTATATAATGCATATACACACATATATGTGGATGGATGGATGGATGGATGGATATAGTAACGTTCATTACATATTTTTGCATTTATTAAGCTGTTTTGCTCATGGGAACCACAATGAATGCGATTTCAGCTTTTACTCTCCTTGTGGAGACATTTTGTCCACATAATGTAAGCAAAACCTCACAAACACACAAGTCTTTGAGGGAATACTTTAAAGCATGGAAAATCAAACTAAAAGTGCCAGTGCCAAACAGCTGATGTTATGGCTAGTGTTATTTTTGGATCAATGGCAGTCCTTCATTAAGTACAGTAGAAAAGTCTGTATACGTATAGTATGTTACATAAAGGAGGAAGGTGACAGGTGACAATTTGGTGGCTCTGTTTATTTGCTTTCCAGACTTGAAGATTAATTTAATAGGTAATTTATTCATGATTCATGTGTGTTTGAATGCAGAACATCCACTGACTTCTCTCTCAAGTAGCGATTTCTCCACAGAGTTATGATAATACAAAATGATTATTGTGCACTATAACTAATTATATATGTTAAACATCATGATAGGCTCTACAGCATAGAGGCTCTAAACCTGAGACTGAGATGAGGTGGAACTGGAATGATACATATAAAGCAATCAACTGAAACATATACGAAATCATCTGACCCGAATTGTGATTGTAATAAATTGTTGATTCATTCACGTGTTTTTGATTCATCGTGCTTGCACTTTCTCTAGCTTTATTTTTTTTCTCATCAGAAAAGCAATTCACCGAGACCTAAGATGAGTAATGATGGTACATTAGGTTTTTAACCAGTCCTTTGCATGAACGATGGATTTTTTTAGACATATGATAATATATCACCTCTTAAAATGTTTGCGGCAGCTAAGTGGAACACCTTAGAAAGTGTGATTAATTATCAAACTAAAATAATGCAACAAAGGTCTTAAATGTGAAAACAAACTACAAAACTTCCAGCACACAATAAAGACAATATGTGAAAACAAAATGGACATAATATGAATTAAGACACTGTGTGAAGTTCTGCGTCCCGGCAGTGGTGGAAAGCCCAAATAATTAAAATGGAACAGTAGCTATAACACACCGTAACCAACACCGCACTACATTTTTTCCCTTGTCAGAGACGCTGAGCTCGAGCATATCATATAATGTACAAGGTGTGCTTTTATACCCTGGCACGGATGCAAAAATAACAATCTCTCAGGTTCGACTGAGCCTAATCACATTGCTCACTGGCATGTTCCTATGTTTCCTCATAGGAGAGCAGCTGAAATAAATGAGCGCCATTCAGATCTATGTTTAGGAAAGAAGAAAAACCCTTCTGAATGGACTAAATGCCGTATCTTTAAAGGCAGGACTATAGCCAGAGAGTCAGGTCTGTAATGCACTTACAGTCAGAGGTTCATCGCTCAATCTGTGATGAAGGAGTGTGTCCAAAACCATGTGTTGGATCCATTACCTGTGAGGAGGCCCACACCACACAAGGAATGAGTAATATATTCCTATGCATTGCTGTATATATTATGTATTTCCTGGCAATGGCACTCCATTGCCAGTATAATAAACATATTATTCTATCCAGCGTAGACAACTGTACTACTATTCAGTTCGCTTTTTTAACAGTCACAGCAGCTGCTGGTTTTGATTTGATGATGGAGTCTACATATATGTAACATATGGGCAACAGGTTTGTAGCGTTCCAGTTTGGATGTATTAATAAAATCATCGCAGCAGTTTTCATCATATTAACAGGCACAAGACAAATGCATGACAGGAAGGTTGAGAGGCGATGTGTAACGGCATTTGCAAACAGATGCTGAAGAGCTTTCAGTACATTTGCAGCTGTGTGTCATTTTTAAGTTAGAATATATTTATAATGTGTTTCCTATATATTTTTTCCCGCTATATATTTTTTGTTTGTTTTTTTGGCTATAAAATGATATTTAGACAATTAAGAATCTAGACACTTAAGCACTTAAAATGTATGAATTGCACTGCATCAGATAACAAAATATCTGAATTTTTATCTGCAAAACAAAAAAAAATTATGCTTTTCTGAAGTATATGGTTACTTATGGTACTGAAGTATATGGTTATATGGTAATCAACTGGTCTCAAGATGATTTTAGTGGGTTAATAAAGTCATTTGCCATCACGTTTATACAGGTGTCCTAGCAAAGTTACTATGGATGTAGTTCATCTCATTAACTGCATGTTCCACCAAAATTAGAAAATCAAAGTGCCCAAATACTTTTTACTGTTCAATGGTTGTGTCAGCCGAATTTTTTTTAAATAAATTCATTCTTATAACATTAATGGCAATAACTAATTACAAGGATGCATTAAATTAATCAAAAGTGATAGTGAAGACATTTACACTGTTACAAAAAATTTTGAACTTTCTGTTCATCAGAGAATCCTGAAAAAAATCTATCACGGTTTCCACAAAAAATTTAAGCAACACAACAGTTTTCAACATTAATGTTTAAATGTTTCTCTAGCACCAAATCAGCATATTAGAATGATTTCTGAAGGATCGTGTCACTCTGAAAACTGAAGTAATGGCTGCTGAAAATTCATCTTTGCCATCACAAGAATAAATTACATTTTAAGAAAAACAGAAAACTGTTATTTTAAATTGTAATATTTTATAATATTGCTGTTTTTACTGTATATTTGATCAAATAAATGCAGCCTTGGTGAGCATGAGACACATGTCAAAAACATTTTTAAAAAATCTTAAAATCTCCAAACTTTATTTTTTAAAAATAAAAAAAATATTTTTATTGATTATTAAATATACTTCTATACATTTTTTTTAAGTGCTTATGCTATATTTCTTTAAAACAAATAATCCGTATCTGTAACCTGTATACAGTATTGATGTTCCTACGGAGTATGATATAAATACTACACAAGTACCAAAGGTACTTATGATATTACCGTGGCTTTTTGGATGTGTACCATAGAAGTACCACGGTATTCTTGGAAGTACTCGAGTTAGTAAGTTAGTAAATGTCATGTTATATGAATTTTAGTGCCATGACATATTTCCAAGTACTAAACCTGTAGTATTACCATGAGAGATCATCACTGTACCACGGGACCGCCAGTAATTACTTTTAAAGGTATTGTACATGAATATGCTAATCGTTCAGTTTTATCATCTGATACCATCACTGTACTTCCACAGTATGTTAAAAAAGTTTAGCTTTTATGCAATATAAAAGATTCCTCCCCCAAAAAAAACAAATACTACAAATGCTTACTATAAACAGTGTCTATTGGTTTATGTGTGTCCCTCCGGTGCATCTGTGGTCAATATCCATTGTAGTCAGGTTTTTAGAGCCTGCTTCTGTGTTTCAAATTGGTCACAGCATGAAGGTGTTAGGCAATGTTTGTTGTCTTTCTCAGGGTCGCTCTTCATTGGGCAGTGTCAGGGTAGCCCTGTCTTATCAGCAGGGCCCTGTAGCAGCAACAGGCTAACCCCCTCACACAGGGAGCGGCAGGGTGCCACAGGGTCACCGCCGGCCCGTTACCTCAGAGAGAACAATCCAACGGAGCCAAATATACACACATCGCTTAAGTAAATAAATATGTCTCCCAGCTCCAAAGCCATCCCAGTGCTGCTGCCTGACTGCCCCTTTCTTTCAAAATACACTTATACTCACCACTGTTTATCATCAGCGAAGAAGACATCTTGGTTCATGTCAGGATCACTGTAAAAGAAACAAAAAGCTTAAATCTCACTTCTTTCTCTCTCTCACACACACACACACACACACACACACATTCTGATTAACTACTCACATCCCTGAATCAACTACCGTGCTGTTTTCATTATTGAAACTGGTAATGAAATTTGTTACACATTCACATTTGGGAAGAGACTAGCGAGATTCAGCGAGTTATTCCTAAGAGCTATGCTTTCAATATGTGACTATCGATTAGCCATAGAGCAAATGAAAATATAAACTTAACAGACAGCCATAAAGTGGAAAAAAACAAAAAACAAAGCCTGTCACAACTCACTGGGGCATCGGGTAATAAATATATCACACACCTAACCATCTTCAGCTTCCATGACTGGCTAGGTGTTAACAACACCTCTATTAACCCTGCATGTTATTATCATGTACAAATGTATACTTCATCAAAAACCAGGACCAGGGCCACAGAAAAGCAACACACTACTTAGCCTTGTCAATTTATTTTATGGGCTCTGCAACCTTATTCACCTGTTCATTTGTCAAGCAGTTAACTATTTTCCAGTGCAACTTTTTGCCTTTTTGTTTTCTGAAAATGGGATTTTGTGTAAGGGCAGTTTAAATTTCAATGCAAAGGCAAGAGAATAAATACAAGTTGAGGGGTTTCCATTTATTGAGGCCAGCTTGTTGTGTAGCACTGACAGGAAGGGGAGAAATGAAAGCCCAACTCTTGTCCCAGTTGTTCATGGTTAAAGTGTGTGGGCAGATGGAAGGACTAAAAGCAATGTGCAGACACTGAAGGTCTATAAAAGCTTAGCGTCTCGGGCCTGGTGGCAGGGCTGGACTGGGGTTAAAATTCAGCTGCGACTCTTCGCCATAACCACAGTGCACATTCAGTATATTTTATCTGTCGAGCTGAAGCAACGCAAATTCGGCGTCTGTTTTCAAGCATTTGCAACTCTCAGTTCTTTACAGGGATGAAAAGGTTTACCAACGTTCGTCTCCACTTGTGTCAGTCGCTTTTTGGTCCTCCTGTTTCCTTATAAGACGTTTGGTTGTGTAAGCTGCTTGACAGATGAGAAATTGTGAACATTTCACTTCAAAATCAAAACGCTCTAGTTTATGTATGGCACACTCAGTTTCCGGTTTCCCATATATGGATTGTCGCCTGTGAACACGTGAGATGATAGGAAAATTTAAAGTGCCTAAAAAGCCTGGGGATTCGTCAAATCCGACGCTTTTTATTTTACTGTTTACAAAGTGAATATGGCTGTCATAAAGACTGAAAAATATCTCAAGATGTTATTTCAGAGATATTTTTCAGAGAGTTTGATTATTTATTGAATGCCATTCCATTAACAATCTGAGACACGTATACAATAATAATATAGACATACAGTAAGCTTTGCAAACAGTTGGAATGGTTCTTGAAAAGCCTTTCCTATGACATAAATTCTTATTTGGTTTAAATATATTGTAAATATTTGTATGAATTCAGTGAATATCAGTATATAATGACAGAATATAAGAAGCACTGTATAACCAAAATACCCTTGACTGTTTGTGATTTTTTTTTTTATTTAATCACAGAAGGAAGATTGGGGGGGTGGGGTATTAGACTTGAAATTAATGGAACTGGCTGCTTTATGACATTTCTAAAGTGTAAAAAAAAGACACTTATTTTCAGTAGATGGCTCAAACAACACGTTTTTTGTTTTTGTTTTTTGCAGCATTTTGCAGCATTCATTTAATATTTAATTTAATATTTAAGGCTCGCCGAAACCTTAAACATTTCAGCAATCAGATAAGAACTATTTGTGTAAAAATAAAACAGGTTATTTCGGATCCACCATAAAAGCCATATATCTCAGTGCAGAGTAATTCAATTCTCTTAAAAAGCAATGCTGGACCTCTTTTAGCTCTATACAACGCATTTATCTCGATTAACAGTTCCCTCCTCTTTTCTCCTCCATTTGTCGTGGTTGCACTGTCAGAACTGTTTAGACGAACAAAAAGCCTGCTTGTTTTGACATATGGTTTCTCGGTTTTGTTTTTGTTGATAATGAGAAACATGTTCCTTGGCTTGCAGTGCCAAAGCCTGAGGGTTTGCAGTTGTGGAGCGCCTGAAAGAAACTGTGAGGAAATTACCTGAAGCACATGCCTCTTTTGTTTCAGTGCTAGCATGGCTAACGTGGCCTAAATCTCACAGAACTGCAAATGTTGAGACATAGGATGTAGATTGGACCACTGATGTCAGCTCATTATATTGCAGGTATCACACTAGATTTTATAACTATAGTCTAATGGCTAGGATTGTCGTGAACATTTATCTTCTCATGGACTTTCACAAGCTCCTATATGGCTAAGAATGCTTCATATTGTCAGCTAGCTTAAAAATCTGATGCTGCCATGGTTGACAGTGGATATAGAGTAATTTTGCTCACTGAATGGGCCTTTAAAACTGTGTGTATTTTCAGTACATAGCCTACATCAGGATTTATAAAAATCTAACCTGATTTGGTCTGGCAGTCTTTTGACGCTGACATTAAGTGACGTCAGTAGTAACCCAGTTAATTGAAGTAAATGTTATAAAGATGCAGTTTGCGTTACCAAATTTAGCAGTCACAATCAAAAAAAAGCAATTTGCAGGGAGCTCGGGTTTTACAAACGGTATCGGTGCAATCAACTACACTCATGTTGTAAGGCGCCGGCAGAGATTGAATTCACTTTCATCAACACAAGTCACATTGGTTTCATCAGTGCACAATAAACCTGTGATGAGTAAATGGCTCTGGCTAGCATGCATTCCTTCATTTTATCAAATAGTGGATGTTGTTAAGTTGTGTATGATGCTTGCCTCATGGTGAGAAGCTTGCGTGTGATGCGTTTCATCTGTATTCTACTAGTCTGACCTTATATAATTTTATTATTCATTCTCCACTCAGGCAAGAATGGGAATCCTCTCAAAGCCCCGATTGACCTCAGGGTCAATCAGGTGATAATCACCCTGTTCACAAGGCCATAGATCTGGTGAGAGCTGAAGAGAGTGAAATAGAGAGGAAAAAGGAAAGAGAGGAGTCGAATGTAACAAAGGAGTGTGTCTTTGTTTTGCAAGTATAATTCGTTTCTGCAAATCTGTTCATAATCTGAATTCTGGTGAAATTGTTGTGTAAAATGTAAATATTAGAACATCATCATTATAACATCTTTAAACGGTGAATATCGCTTTTGCAAAAATGTTGCCACATGCACATATTTTTCATCAGCCTGGGGTTGCAAAAATATGCACCCATATGAATGTATCTAATGCTTACTAATGGTGTGTTCAATGAAAGACAGAACTGTGTGTGTGTGTGTGTGTGTGTGTCATTTGTTAAAGGGATAGTTCACCCAAAAATTAAAACTTGCTGAAAATTTACTCACCCTCAGGCCATCCGAGATTTTTTTTTCATCTTAACATATTACATTAGATTTGTATCAATTGCTCACCAATGGATCCTTTACAGTGAATGGGTGCCACTAGAATGAGTCCAAACAGCTGCTAAAAACATCACACAAATCTGTAAGTAATGTAAGTAATCCACAAACTGTGCATTTGTAATAGATCACAAGACGTTAATTGATGTGTGGATCTTGTATGGATCATGAGTCATGTGGATTACTTGTGGATTATTGTGATGTTATTTACAGCTGTTTGGACTCACTCTAGTGGCACCCATACACTGCAGAGGATCCATTGGTGAGCAAGTGATATTAATCTAATGTAATATGTTAAGATGGAAAAAAATCATGGATGACCTTGGGTCTCTCATTCTGACAGCACCCATTCAGCGCGGAGGATTCTTTGGTGAGCAAGTGATGCAATTCTTAATTTCTCTAAATCTCTTCCGATAAAGAAACAAACTCATCTACATCTTGGACTGAGGAAATTTTTAGCAAATTTTCATTTTTGGATGAACTATTCTTTAAGGCAAACCGTGTTTATCTGCTGTTCTCACTTGTATGATAGTACGATCAAATTTGCTGACCAATTTATGCAGATATCCATAAATTATTATATCAGTTATGAGCACTGAAAATATTTTCAATGAAATACTCATTATGCAGTGGAACTCTGTCTCTTATAAGAGATCAAACTAAACAAATACACTATTCAAATAAAGCACACAATTTCCTCTAATCAATGCTACCATGCTGAACCTTCAAAGGTTTTTCATATTTAAAAACATCACATTGCCAGAATTTTCCCCCTATAGCAATAAAGATATATTTTCTTATTATGTTTCTGGTGGTTGCCTTCATGAACTAAATGTAGAAATTTTGGGCTGTGAACTCAAGTATATGTTTACATTTTGCCTGCTGGTTAAGAAGCTGATAAATTATTCACCAACACAAGGCCAGGCAGAATAAGAGAGTGAGAGAAATAGGGCAATCTTCTATGAAAAGGCTGAGAAAAGAGCTGACATCAGCAGTCTCTGGGCTGAAGATAACAACAGTCTAATGTTGTGTTCTAGTGCTGACGCCTAGCCTAAAATAGCCTCATAACATACAAAACTCACTCCTGTCCTGTTAACTGCAAAGAGCACTGGTTTCTATTAAATGGATTTTTAAATGCCACCCTAGCTACAGCATATTAGAATCTATTTGAATAAATCAAATATGTCTATCACACTTTTTACTCATGGTGGGTTTATTTTTGGAAAGTCAATTTCTATATCTTGCTTTGAGCTTTTGGACATTTTTTCCTAGGAAATAAAAGGTACGGTTCAGTAAACACTTTATGTGACAACATGTCTCAATAGTTGTCACAGTGGAAACACAAAATAATTAAGGAATCAGTGGAACCAAACATATCAAACCATTGTTTTGGCCAACTAATATTGTAATTAATAATCTGACAGCTTGCCCCAATACAGTTCAGGCTTTCATTTACAGTCAACATTATTAACTGATTCTTTTCCTATATATGTTTCTGTGCCATTCCACATTCCATGTTTTTTATAGATATCTGTTAGGGTTGGGACAATTAAAATATATTGCAGTATAAACATATAGGATGATCTGAGCACACAAAACTATTCTGTACTTAAAAACACGCTTCAAATGCCAACAGTCATACTTGAGGAAATCAGCAGAGTGAATTATGAAAAGCTCCATAGAAATCCACATCAGATAAGACCGTAGAGAGCAGATGCCAACACAGAGAACCAATCATCTCGTGCTGTCCCACATTATGGATTTGCCATTCAGACACAAATCATTATGACTACAGAGCCTCAGTAAAGTGGCTGCATGAGCGACTCGCCAAAACGGCATGATTATAAACAAAGACTTGATATTAAAGCCTTCCATTCATGTAAGCATAAAGTAAACATGAATGGAGGAAAAAGGCTATTTTGAACAAAATTATACTGTCCACTGCGGAGGAGGAGGGCTGGGCACATTTTTCCATCTCTTGGTCCCGAATTGGTGTCTAATTATCGCATCATAATGAGAAGTTAAAATAACTTTGTTCATTCCTGGCCAAGAACGAATAAGAAGATACAAGTCTCTCCATAACCGACTGTCTTTGTGACTTCTGGATTGTTCCTGCTGTCCACTGTTTGGCCTCTACACTGCAAGACAAGCCGCATATTTCTGAACCAGCTTGTGTCTGAAAAAAATATATATACAGTGCCTTGCGAATGTATTCATATCCCTTCATTTTTTCACATTTTGTTTTGTTGCTGCCTTATGTTAAACTGCTTTAAATTAGTTTTTTTCCACAACAATCTACACTCCATACACCATAATTGTAAAGCAAAAAACAGGCTTTTAACATCTTTGCAAATTTATTAAAAATAAACACTAAAATGATTCCATTGCATAAGTATCCCATTATCTGGGACAGTTGAAATTTAGCTCAGGAGCATTAATTTTGCT